CAATAAATACACAAAAAATGGGGAAATTTCGGCGGTGGTTGTGGGATTCAAACACGTCCTCGGGAGCAAAGACAAAACTGGTGATTTTCACCGCTGGGATATTGCGACCTGAACGAAACAGAAGGTTGATGGCTAACTTATTCATCATTTAGATTCTGTGGTAGTGGCAGCGGCGGTGCTGGTAATGCTGGAACCTAGGGCCCGACGCTGGATGTGGATGACAGTAACGTAGAATGACCGACCGCCATCGAAAACCCCCTAGAATGAGAAAAGCACTCTTAGGATAGGAAATAGAAGACGGTGTTACATGATCGTTGTAAAAATCAAGATCCTCAAGGAAAACACCGTATTAGTGCGATACAGCCGAGAAGTTCTCAGTATGGTAGGGTAAGGGTTTCTTGAGCTGCGACTGGTCACCCTTCCCTTGCTCCTATATACCATCAAGCGTCTATCGAGGAAGCCCTAGTCACGTGGCGAACATGCTGTCCCATCACAGGGATTTTAACCGGTTCGATGAACATTGATTACTCCGCGTATTTCGGTATACATTGTCGGGTAGACTCAAAAACGGTAAATCCATAGCTAGATGAACACGAAGTATTATGGATATAACCAAGAAAACAAGTCCTATAAAGTAGTGCAGTGAAACCATGAGGTTTTAACTGAAGAACTGAAAGATCAGTATGCGAACAACAAAAAAGACTATTAGATCACACACACACACACAGAGGCGACCAAACGCAAATCTCAATGGGTATGCACCACGAGGGTGAGTTTACAATCACAAGGCAAAGTAAATTAGGGTAGTGAATTCGTCTTATCAATTGATCCAGTCGACGAGTTTCGCACGTCCTCAGTTTTGCAAATGGATACGGGAGCACTGGTGGGTTGCATTGGAACTGAGCTGGCTGTTCACAAACATATATCGGTCGTTCAGAACCGGGGTGTACAGTTCTCTCTCTCTCACACACACACACGCAAGAGAATAGTGTACGACTGGTACTCAAGACTCTTCGCGTTACAGTAAGCCTTGGAGAACATGAAGAGTGACCAGCAGGACTTTTGAAGAGAGTGAGACGTGTGAGTAGATGTGGAGAGTCGCAAATCGAGATCCAAACAGCACGAGAGAAGGAATGCAGTCAAGAGAATTGTGCTAACCAACTAACATACATTGTGTGATAGACACAAAACAACTGTCCAGTTAGGTTATAATTGCCGCGTGATACAATTTTGCGCAAATAGTTCACGCGACAAACGAAATCTGGAAATCAATTGTTTTGTTTGTTTGTTTTCAAAGAAAAATAAGCCAAATTTACCGGTTCCGAGAGTTGTTTCTCCGCCACCAGCCGCGTCCCCGTCGCTCGGGCATGCTGTGTCAGATCGTAACAACTGCGATCCGCACAGCCCACACATTCGATCCAACCGTAACTGGTCTGACACTCCGCGTCCCAACAATCACAGGCATAATGAGCCATCTCGTTGGATAAATGCTGACGGAAACGAAGTCGCGTGGGATCCACACCGATGAGCACCAGGAATTGATGAATACGAGCCATGAAAT